TTAACTGCCATCATGTTTACCTTCCTATCATCAGTAGCACATATGGGACCTGCACATACGTGTGTTAAGTTGGTGCAAAAGAAATTGGTTTTGCTATTACTTTCAATGGCAAAAACCACAGTTACTTTTGCACCCATCTACCAATATTGAGCAGTTGCATCCGCCATCTTTACTTCACCTAATGGGAAGCATCACATGATGGTGTGCAAACTCCAAGCCAGTGCTGTTTTTTTCCTTCTCTCTAAATCTGTTTTTCTGTTCTGACCCTTGTCTAGGCAGGAGAAAGAGGATGGAAGATAAAATATTCCAAAGAAATAGAGAGTCCTTGCCTTTCTGACCCTGGGTGTGGAACCACCCCTACAACATTTATTCTCTGAATTTGTCAATTTGTCCATAAGATTGTGGTTAAGAGATCTCAGGCTGAGAAGTCTAATCCTAATTTGGCTGAAAGAAAAATATTGGTGGAGAGGCCTCAGTATGCCCTGGAGTCAAGTCTGTAGGAAGAGCAGATGGGATGTTTTTTTTGTTTCGTTTTGTTTTGTTTTTAAAAAAGAAAGAAAATAAGGAATGCCTGGGAAAAAAGAGTTCGGGATGACTGTGAGACTTGATTTTATCCCTTATGAGATTTTCCCCTTAGAACATAACCCAGTTGTCCAGGCCTACCACTATCAAATTCAAAGCATGGGAATCACAAATAATTAAAAAGTAATCAAAATATGCATTACTGTATCATATCTGCATGTTCTCTACCTCCTATCTGGCATTCTTCATTGAGCAATTGCTGCTCATCCTTCAAACCTCAGCTCAACCATCAGTCAGTTGCCCTAGGAAGTCTGTTCTACTCCTGCACTCTCCCCAGCCTGGGGTGAGTGTCCTTCCCTACCCCAGTAAAACCACAGTCCACTTCTTGTTCGGGAGGGAGATACTGCTACCCCTGAAATAGGAAATACCAATTTTGGACATATTGAATTTTTTTGTTTGTTTGTTTTCGAGACAGGGTCTCACTCTGTCACCCAGGCTGGAGTGCAATGGCGTGATCTTGGCTCACTGCAACCTTCGCCTCCTGGGTTCAAGCGATTCTGTGTCAGCCTCCTAAGTACCTGGGTCTACAGGCATGTGCCACCATGCCCAGGTAATTTTTGTATTTTTAGTAGAGAGAGGGTTTCATCATGTTGGCCAGGCTGGTCTCGAACGCCTGACCTCAGGTGATCCGCCTGCCTCGGCCTCCCACAGTGCTGGGATTACAGCTGTGAGCCACCGTGCCCAGCCAACATATTGAATTTGAAGGGTCTGTGGGATGTCCACATTTTAGCCTTAACCCATAGAGACCTCTGGCCTCTGTTCTTTCTCTTTTCCTGTCTCCCTCTGCATAGGAGACAGCTGCTATTCTGACTGATTCATTAGACCACATTGCCTTAACAGGCAGGGACACAGTTTAAAGGTAACGAGCAGTCACAAGTGGCCCTTCTCTTCTTCCATCTGCTGCTAGATGTGACAGGCTGGCCCTTCTGATCTATGTGGCTATTTGGGTAAGTGGATTTGGGAATCTTCCCCAGAAACCTTACTTTTCCTGTCACTCTTCACTAGGCTACTGAGATTTGGTTTGGAAACACAGGTGCTCTAGAGGCTTGAGCTGCAGCCAGGCACCCTGACTCAGCTTACCAGGTGGCCTTACATTTGGGCCTCATTGGATGCTTGTTCACCTGGCTCTGTTTCCTAGTTGGCAATTGACTCTTCTATGTACAGCTCCCTTGTCAGGAAACTGCAAAGGGAAGCATGATGAATGGGAAGGTTCTAGCACCTAACTACGTCTCAAACCTCTGACACATCTCTGCACTTCCAACAATGCACTGTAATTATTTGCCTCCCTCATTAGATAGTAAATTCCCTGAGAAACTAATCTTTGTACCCTCAGTGCTTAGTACAAAATCCAATACATATTAGGTGATGAAAATATGTTAAGTGAATGAATGAGTTTGGCCATTCTTAGACCTAGTTCGTCAGTCTAGCCTCTGCCACTCTCTCTCTGTTCCTGTCAAGTAGAGCTCTGAAGGTTCCCTTCACAAGCTGTGCTAATCCACACAGATTAACCCAGACCCAAAACCTCCTATTCTCAGCTCAATCCACATTCACCAGTAAGCATTTTTCAACTAGTCGGCCCTCACTGATTTCCTTTTCTCAATACTTCTCACACAATCTGTATAGTATTTCATTACTCTCTAATTTGTCTTCAGTGTGATACACCAGAGTTATGCTCTTAACTAGACCATGCACAACCTGGTCTCCACTTGCACTCACCTCTGGAAGACATTGTCAAGCAGGGCAAAGTTTTTGAAAACTTTTTGCAAAGGTTTTGCAAAGTTTTTGAAAATAAAGAGGAGCTGCTCTCTAGTCCCAGTAACTTGAATGAGGTAGGATAAGTCACTTACTTCCTATAGGCCTTTCTGTGAAAACTGAGGCACTAACCGTCTGCTTGACTATATCTTGGGCGTTGCAGAAATCAGAATAAAAACATGAAGACACCTGCAAAAACTTATGCACAAGTGATACCCATAGATGATGGATTAGAGCTAGGGTCAGAGGAGGCCTTAATAAATGCCGATGGATTTACTTGATAATGATTATGTTGCTCATAGGGATCTCATTAATGAAGGCTAAATTGTTCCTACTGTAACTCTAGTAAGCATTATTATTATTATTATTTGCGATGACAGCTGAGTGATCCAGTGCCTTTAAACATTTTCTAAAACCTATTTAAACCTATTTCAAACCTACTCCCATCCTAAAATTGAAAATGTTTGAGAAATATTACTATAATCTCTTGAAATGCAGTTTTGCAACTTTTTAAAAGTTTGTTATCATCTTATTTCTGAAAGCTAATTCTGGTTCATTAGGGGTTTAGAATTCAATACAGGAGTCATCAAATACTCCATTTTTACCCACCTCTTTTCTATTACTTGTAACATTATCTTAACTTGAATTTTGATTCCCATAAAGGTATACGTGGAAATTTAGGCAGGAATAATTATCCCCATCTCATGGGTGAGAACTCAGCGGTGTAGTGAACTTGAAGCTCAGAGAGCTTGAAAGTCACTGAGTCAGGTTCATGGGGCCCACATGGTGTGAAGGTTAAGTCCTCCTTCTAATAAGATGAAGTGAAGACGCAAAGGGATCAAGGTCTGGGTTGAGTATAAGTAAAATGCGGGTTGTTTAATGCTAAATCTTCTAGGTATTTAGGTTTGATGAGGTAAGAGGTTAAAATTTTTGTCTAAAATAAAATTCCTGGATTCTCTCTGAATGGTTCATATGCATTATTTCTGTTTGCTCCACTCCATGTAATGAAGAGTTCTACAGCCATGCATCCATTATCGATAGGGGTACTGTCTGAGAAATGCATTGTTAGGTGATCTTGTTGTTGGGCAAACATCATAGAATGAATGTACTTACATAGACCTGGATGTGTGGCTTTCTATATTCCTAGGCTGTATGACATGGCCTATTGCCCCTAGGCTACAAACCTATACAGCAAGTGACTGTACTGAATACTGTAGGCAATAGTGACATAATGATAGGTGTGTGTCTATCTAAACATAGAAAAGTTACAGTAAAAATTCAGAATTGTAATCTTATGGAACACTACTATATGTGTGGGCCATCAGTGACTAAAATGTTGCGAAGTGTATATGACTATATGCGTGGTAAGGCGTGCTCAGCCTATCTGTGCTGAAAGATGGATTTTTGAGTAACTTTCTCTGTGTATTACTAATTTTAATAAAGAAAATTCCCAGATACACTAGGTTAATAATTTTGATGTTGTGTAATAAATTATTACTTATCTTTTTTTAGATTTTAAAAATGCTTTACAAATTGGTATTTAGTTCCAATAATAAAGAAATAAAAATAAAGGACATTTTAGGGAAATTGTGGAACAGTTTTATCTTAGTTTCATTAAAGGAAATTACATTTTGTAGCAATACTGACTCCATTGCCTGAAAAAAGTTATAATTTTTTATGTGCAGAGAATATTGTATATTCTACAAGATTCCCTAGGTCATGATGAATATTGTTATTCATGCATTTTTTTTTGTAAAGTTCTAAAATGTCACATAAATGTATTTGTGCATATTTTTTACAGTGTGGTATGAAGTACCAGTATGGGATGAGACTTGAAATGACATGTAAAAATACAATAACATTAATTTTAAAGTAAGCCCATGCAAATAGGTACTTGAAGGAGGAAGTTTAGTAAGTTTCAGCTAAATTAATTGACATGCCCCATGTTGTATGAAAAGATAATCATCCCACTCATTGTATTTCTGACTCAAATTCTAAGAGTAGTGACCAAAATAGATGTGTAGACCTCAACGGTCTGATATGGTAGCCACTAGAGACTTAATGGCCATTTAAGTTAAAATTTATTAAAATCAAATAAAATTTAAAACTCATCTCTTTATTTGCACTAACTTACATTCAGGGGCTCAAAAGCCACATGTGGCTAGTGGCTGCCATATTAGACAGAGGGATAAAGGACATTTCACAGAAAGCTCTAGTTAGTCAGAAAGTCCTTCTGCTGACAGCACTGCTAACAAGGTTAGCAAGGGTTCCATGTGACTGGGGGAAAGCTCAGAAAAGTTTCTCAAATTAGCATTCCTTTGATCAATATCTTCAAATGTGTCTATATGTTTTACACACATACACACACACACAGCTGATCTTGGTTATCATGAATAATCATATCGTCATACCTTTCACAGCCGCTGTTTTAATATTAGTGAAACAAACCCTGAATCTGCTAGTTGAGGGAGACTATAATGACTAATTATTTTCATTAAACTTATTATTACAAAATATTATTATTATATCTATAGTGATATAATATCTATAGATAGATATATATATCTATCACTATAGATATAATATTACTACTATCTATCCCTATAGATATAATAATATTATTAATATCTATCACTATTGTAATAGATTTTTCATTGAGGAGGATACACTTTTGAATGCATGATACTTTATTTAAACGCACATATATACAATGATGACAAAGGAAAACATTGCAGAATTCAGCACGATGGTTGCATGCATTGGTAGGATGGGTGGACTCTCATTTTACACGATGAAATATGGGCTGAAAATAGGAAAAGGCCAGAGAGCAAGTTTCATTTCCCATCACCACATTGAAGGGTCTTCAAGCCTGTAAAACATAAGAAGCAAAGCATGTAAGGGAAGCTGCCCAACTTCCTGAGGTATTAGCAAGGGTGAGACATTTAGCTCTGAAGTGAAAGATGATGGGAACTGTAGAAAAGTCTCCTGCTGGCATTCTAAACCAGAAGCCACGTGGAATATCAGAACGCGAGGCAGAGGCACAATGTGCACAGCCCCAGCTGAGCAGTTTTCCATGATGTTAACAGGAGTCTTGGGCAAACCTCAGAGGGAGTGTTTTAAAGGCTCTGTATGTATCAAAGGAGCTGAAGAACACAATCTTTTGAAAATCAAAATTACAGAAATCACATGAAGCTATAAGAGGAAAGTTATTGTTCTTCAACTCTAAATATGCTTCCTTTTCCTGCCAGCTTTATTATGTAATAAGATGCTACTTATTAGACTATGAGATCTTTTTAATAAAATAGCACTCATAGGCAACTTCTAGACTGTCAAATTTTGTCTTCTAACTGCACATGATGGAGTCTGTCAATCAGGGTGCAATTAATTTTACTTCATGCACTAACTGGGCCACAAAACAAAGACAAAAACCAAGTAGGTCTGGGTTGTTATTTTTCTAACAGTAAGTAGATATAGCCTACCCTAAACATTTTACTGTGGCAAACATCATATGCATGTCAGTGAAACATAGAAAGACATTTACTGCTTAGTATTAAAAACAACCCTGGCCAGGCATTGTGGCTCACAACTGCAATCCTAGCACTTCAGCAGGCTGAGGAGGGAGGATCTCTTGAGGCCAGGAGCTCGAGGCTGCAGTGAGCTCGAGGCTGCAGTGAGCTATGATTGCACCACTGCACTCCGGCCTGAGTGACAGAAGGAGACCTTGTCTCTGAATCATAATAATAATAATTTTTAATTAAAGAAGACAACACTTACACATTTTCTACCTGTTTCCCTTGCATTTGCTATTTAAGTCTGGGCTGGTTCCTCCAGGGACAGGAGCACTAGAGTTTTATCTCAATTCAAATCATTGTTCCCTTTAGAGAAAACAAATCTCACAACTCTGTATTAACACCCTTCGTTCTGGCTGGCCATTTCACAAGAGAACTGAGGGAGGTTAGAAGGGAAAGTGGGTGGCCCAGCGGATCACCCTGCTGAGACTCTAGGGAGAACTTGGAGAGCCACATGTCAGTCACACTCACTGAGCAAGTGTTCTAGTGACCTCTTCTGGGGAACTTTGTCCTTGACGTTGTAGAACTCTGGGTTTAAGGCAGCCAAGCTGCCGCAGACATGGGTGGACCCTGTGCACTATGATCTTACTGTGGTTAGAGACAGGAAGCAAGGACTGAAGAGCCAGGAGGTTATGAAGATGGAAGAGGACCTGCCTCCTCTTTAGCAGCACTCCTTGTCCAGGAGGCACCAGAAAATCTTAGCTCAATATTTAACACTTAGACATTGGTGGGCACCTCTTTTGAAGACAGACCCAAACTGCAAGAAAGTCCTGAGACTACAGATAAACTCCTAAGATTACTGTCATTCAACGTGCATTCATTGAATGTAATAAATCACTACATGACACAAGTTGAACTCAAATATGTCAAAAAGTAATCCGGAGCATCTAATTTACCTACAGCTTCATGTAAAACTGGGAAAGTTGGAGTAAAAACCATGGGGGACATTTTCTAGGACATCTGGACGCTCCACATATATAAAAACTACAGATCTTCCCAGCCAGAGATGGACAGTTGGTCATTTCAATTTAGAGCCAGGGACTCACTCTATGCTCCCCTGATTCCAACAATGTTAGAAATTCTATATAATTTCTAAGTTAAAAGTCAATTATTTTTAAAATTGTCAAAGGAGCACCAAATAACCTGGGCTAGAAAATGTTATTCCACAGACGTTTGGAGATTTGACAGTGAGTACATGAAAAGAGAGGTCTCCCCTGCCTGCTTCTTCACCCTCATTTCTGCCGAAATCTCCCCTAGTGTAGAAGCCCCTATCCCAATGCCTCCCACCAGGCACCTGTCTCTGACTTCCCTCCCCTGGGCACCTGGAGCTCTGCAACAATGTCCCCATCACAAGCCTTGTCATACCGAGTTCTGGGAACATTTTCTGTGCTTTCTCTCATCAAGAGGTCTGAAATCAGTGTCTCTGGGCTAGATCGTTTGCCATACCTGGAAAAAAAAGTCTTTTAAAGCAAGTTTGGAATAGGCATAAAAACCTTTAGGAAAAAGGAAGATAGTCTCCTATTTGGGATATGAAAACTAAATATTATTGTCAGTTGTTCATCTGTAACAAGCAATCTAGGTGTATGAAGCATATATTATCAGAAACATTATCATAAATATTATTTGAAATTATTTATATATATATATATTTTAAACTTTGCTCAAATACTCAATAAATAATCTAGGAGGTTATTTAAACCAAACCAAAATTCCTAGTCAAATTCCTGCCTTTTTAAACAACCATAAATAATATGTATAGAGATACATACTTTTATAACTAGGTGACAGGAAATTTGAAAACATGGAGGCATGATTGTAAATGTTTCCACAATTAGTTAATTGGCTATTGTTCTGATGATACACAGCAGTTTAAATCTTAACAAGGAGACCAGATGATATTTCAAAGACAGTCCTAGAAAAAAATCAGCAGATTGCCGTGTAAGACCCACCTGTGTCTTTGAAGCTCAATTTTCTCGTTTGTAAAATACTCCCTGCTTAAATCAGAGACTTTGTGAACATCCAGTGTGAAACGTGAGTCCCAGTGCTTTCAAAGTGACAAAGTGATACACACATGCAAATTACTGCTGTTGAAATGTATCCATTCTTCTGGTTACCAACAGACCCTGGGTCTCATATTTCTCATATTCATTCAAGGTGCCAAATGCTAAAGCCTCTCCTGATGTTGTGATTTTAGCCTCCCTGTAAGTCTAAAGGAATCTAACTGGTTCATGGAAATGTTCTTTTTTTTTTTTTCTCCTATAGCAGGATATGGGTGAGACAATACACACAGGTAAGGTTTCGTTTATCTGCGAGGGTAGTATATGCTCCCCACTCCAGGACACTACAAAAGAGTCAGACAAGTCTATACCAACTTGCATCTTTTGAAGAGGCCATTTTTCCCTTTCTCAGAAAAGGTGTTGGACACCAGTCGCCACTTTGTTTAGGAATAAATTAGCCTGGTGTGGATTGGTTAATAGGTCTAACAGCTGAACACAGCTGACAGAGGATATATTCTAATTGCCAAGCAAAATTTTATCTAAAGTTTTTGGAAAGATTTTCTATTACTGTTCTTTTGCTGAGACTCAAGGGAAGCAAAAACAAAACACGTCCCTGTCCCACTCCCATCATGTGTAAGATTTCCTCGAAGATTTTCTGGAGCTGCGATATTAGACTACAGGCATCTGCTTATACTATTTATTCTGTCCATCCATTGGTTTTACTAATCGTAAAACTCTAGGGCAACTGTAACTCATTTATCTTCATCATGCTCCAGTGAGTAAAAGAACTGCCCACTGTTTTCTCCAATTTACCAGTAAAGAACCTAAATCTGAAATAGGAGGATTTGCACAGTCATAGTCTTGCACCCAGTTCAGCATTGTTCACTCTTCTTCCTTCTTTAATTAATTCTGGATCATCCTTCCTCTCTACCATGCTGTGACTTTCAAAGATTGAGTCCTTAGAGTAAAGATTCTCAAACCTGGCTGCACATTAGAATCACCTGGGGACTGTTAAAAAACACACTCTAAAGCCCAGGCCCTATGCTAGAGGGTCTGATTTAATTGGTCAGGGGTGGATCCCAGCATCAGTGTACTTTAAAAGCGCCCCTGATGATTTTACTGTGCAGCCAGAAAGGAGAAACACTGATCTAAGGCTGAGTTTCTCCGGGACTGGCTAGTCTTTGTAATGGGGGCTGTCCTGGGCATGGTAGGATATTTAGCAGCCTCCTTGGCATCTATACATCTAGATACCAGCAGCACCCACCTCCCGTTGTGAAAACCAAAAATGTCTCCAGACACTGCCAAATCACACCTGGGGAGCATAAAATCACCCTCTGTTGAGAACCACTGATTTAGGGGGCCATATAAGTAAATTGTAGGAGACCCACACTCTAGAATAAGTAATGCAGCTTCCAGAAGCAATGAGCCAGGGGTATATATACAGCAACAAGAATATAAGCACAAATTGAGTGTAGGGGGAACGGGGGTCGGGGCGGGGGGAAGAAAAATAGTGATATCAGATTACATCTATAGTAAATTAAAGCACATCCACAAATGACCCTGTAATTTTCAGAAACACACATAGGAGTGGGTGTCTGTGGTGGGAAGGAGAAGATGGATGTACATTAAGAGCCTCTGCTGGTTTCTAAGAAGGAGTTTACATGAAGGTGAGACAGGAAACTCTGCCTCTGAGACCAGCTCATTCCCATCTAAGCTGAATCTCTTGCCATGAAACCCAAGTCCCTTTCCTTTATGTTTTTTTTTTTTTTTTCCCTCATCAAACATGTTGGAGATAACACCGCCTGTTGATGGTGGTGACAACATCCAAAGAAACTCAAAGGAGGCCCCCAATTCCATAATTCCTATAAAAATAGCTTTCATGAAATGTCCTTAGCTTCATGATTTGTGAAATGGAGATAATTATACTCCCTTCAAAGCTTTGAGGTAAAGACTGAATGAGATAATGCCTAGGAAAACATTTTAAAATGCTAGAGCTTTGTAAAATTGTAAAGCTTTAGAGCAATCATCTTTGGAAAACTGAGTTCTACTGTATATTATGCTATAACTAAATAACTAACAAAGGTTTTTCTAGAAAAAAAAGTTAATATATTTTTGTTTGTACAAGTTCTCTTTGATCTGCATGACAGCATAGCATAGCAAGAATTTGAATCAATTAACTTTCTGGGAAGCATGGAATATAAAATATTATTGCTTTTTGCTAATTAAAATGATCAGATTTCAAGGGATCACAAACCAATACTATTTAATTCTGGCATTTTCATGTTTTTCAGATTCTATATAAATTGGAGCTTTTTCAAAAGTTTTTTTAGGATGTTGAATACCTTTTTGATGAAACAGGAAAAAGCAAACGATTTTAGAAGTACAGATTCTCCCCCTTTTGGATCCTTTCCAACTACTCCCTGACTTGTAAACAGTAAAAATATGGACTAAATAAATAAATAAACCCCACAATACTTTAAACATATAATTTAAACATGTTAACTAACATTCATGCTTCTAAAGGGCTTATCCTTTAGATATGGTCAAATGATTAAAATCATTTAATCTTAGTAATTAAAATAAGATGTTAAATGATTTAGAGCTAAGATCAACTAATTTTGAAAACGAAATTTAAATCCTATGTAATTTGTAAAATAGTTTGGATTTGATTTTTCCCTTAATTGTCAATGTTGAGAGTGAAAATGTGGCATTTCATTTTGACTTTCTGAATGTCCAGAATAAAGTTTACAACTTCTCAGATTCCATGTAATCCGTGGATTCATCCTAAAGTTACTGGACCAATGTAAGTTTCTTCTTAATGAAATACCAAGTGGGCACTTTCTTTTCAGAATTCACCAGCTATAAAATAGGGAGAGTCTCTGCATTTTAGATAAACTGTTTTCAGGCTAAATCTCTAATTACTGGGACTAGGATTTTCAAGTATGAGACTGAGACTGCAAAAAAACACAGTACAGAAGAAAAGAAAATAGCTCTATTTGTCTTTTTCTAAATACTGTCATTCAATTAGCCCTAGGCAGGCTGGAAAGTCTAACAATGTCTGGGGCAACCCTGCAGTTTACTCCTTGGTTTGGTTTTCTTTGGTGGTCGTTCTGTTTTTCCTAGACACCTTGCTAGCCTTTCTCCCTACAGCATTTCTCTGGCGCATTCTTGCCCCTTTCACTGGGTACTTTCGAGATTTCTGGACAGGCCCCCACTGCTGTAAGAACCACAACAAACCACAAGACGTGAGTGAGAGGAGATTGCCAGCCTACCAGCCTGGGGAACCTGAATCTGGGGATCACGACTCTGTGACTGTAGTTGCACAAAATGGAAGGTATCCATTTTGTGCGCAGTGTGCCCCGCACATTTACCTAGAGCTGACTAAGAGCCTGATACTGTCCTGCCCTGGGATAGAGCGAAGGAAAAGAAACAATCCCTTCCCCTAACCAGGATCTCCTGGTGTGCAGGCACTGGTGCTCCTGGAGTCGGTCCCGCGGGCCCACCCACCTCTGCCTGGTGATGAGGTTGATGTAGTGTCGCAGCGCCGAGTAGTATCTGGCCATGTCCTCCGCTGGCGCGTCCTCGCCCGGGTTGTCCGGTTTGGAGGGGTACGCCTCGGCCAGCGCACCCAGGCACACGAGCAGGGACAGGGCGAGGGTCAGTCCGGACAGCCCCAGTCGCTTGCTACCTAGCATCTGCGGGCACAGAAGGCTCAACGGACCGGCTTGGGGATTCAGAGGACCCACGCGCAGCACCTCCCTCCTCTGCCTCCCGCGCTCCTCCTTCTGCTACCACCCGCGACCCCCAATCCGCTCTCGTCCCAGTCCCGCAGAGAGAACCCAGGCGTGGCTAGCACCACCTTGCGGACTCTGGGTGCCGTCTGGCCCGGACCTGCCCCTCTGCTCCACCTGAAAACTTCGCGCAACTTCGTTCCAAGTCTCGGGGACCAAGAAGCGCGCGGCGAGAGGTGCAAGGTGGGGACCCCGCCAGTTTAGACACTTTCAAAATCAAATTGGAAGTTCCTCCTGCTGGGTCACTTTTCTCCCCTCTTGCCCAAACTCTTGTCTGGGAAGAAAACTTTCTTCTCTGTTACTTTTGGTCTGCCTAGCTTCAGGGGATCAACGCTGACCGTAGAGATAACCTCAGGGTGATGACTGCGGTGGGGAAGGGGGAAAAGAATTGCTCCTTGGGCCAGAATTGCTCCCAAGAGATTTGGAGCCCAAGAATCCAGGCAGATGGCAGGGCGCGGGGCTCCCGAGCGCCAGGGATTCCTCACTCGATGGCGCTGCCAGGGAAACCTTCCTACCGCGCATCGCTTTCTGGGCCTCAAGGCAGCGACCCGCAGGGAGACCGCCAGCTGCCTTGGGATAGGGGTCCCAGGTTCTCCCTCCATATCTGCCAAAAGGCAACTCAGAAGAACCGCCCAGCGGGAAGGGCCCGGGAGAAGGGCGGTGGACAATCAGAGGGGAGCAGAGGGACAAGTGGAATTTAGCCGCCAAGAGGGCTGGTCCGCGTCGGGGCGCCGAGCCGGCATAGTCCCGGCTGGGGAACGGGGTGCGACCCTCCCGGGGCCCCAGAGCTCCACGGAGCCGGAGGCTGCGCCTCTAGCAAGTTCATGGGCGCCCCTTCGCTCCCATCCCTAGACAAACGGGTCGTAGCACTCACGGTGGCTGGCGCGCGGGCGTGGCTGGGCGGCAAGTACTCTGCTGTCCGGCGCGCGTCTCCGAGGGGTGACAGCCAGCGGATGGGGTGCAGAGAGCGGGTCGCAAACGGGCTTTTATGGAGCTTCCTCGCCGCAGCAGGAGGGGCCTCGGGCAATCACGTTTGGGTGACTCCTACCCGCCACTTCCCGCCCCCGAGTGGCGGGGGGAGGGGGCTGGAACCGCAACCGCACGAGTGTTGGCTTAGGGAGCCACCCACACCCCAACCCTCCCGCCCCAGGCGCTGCCCGAAGAAGCGGGGCCCGGGACCGCACGAGCGAAGCAGCGCGCCCCGAGCGCGCTGGACAACACCAAAGCCCAAGTGTCTGCCCTCGGGCAGTGCCCGATCCCTGCTTTTCTTCTTTCCTTCACGCCCCGTCTAGTCCTGCCAGAGATGGGAGCAGCCCAGACGATTCTTGTCGCCTGCCAACAGGACTTACCAAGCCACTGGGCGCCTGAGTAGGAAGCATCTGAATGCTCTTTGCGGTGGGACATCTCCAGGACCAGCGCGGCATCCTCACTGGGCACAGCTGCGCGCTTTTGGAGAGAGGCAACTGGGCGCACCGATTTTTCCTGCACTTAGAACAAGTTGGAGGCAGCTGCGGGAAGTCTCCAGCTAGAGGGTCGCAAAGCTGCCCCCCGCCCCCCGACCCCTCGGCGCGGAGCTGAGAACTGGTTTCATGGGCTTCAGCCCCTTTCCCTCAGCTGGTTTTTCTAGGACATCAGCCTTCCTCAAGTACTCTCCCAGACGCAGTGAGCCAGGCTCGGTCTTGACAGGAGTGTGGCGACTCAAAATTCCCCAAAGGGGGAACACGGTAAACCTTTTCCCCTAGTTTACTGAAAAAGAGCCACGCTTCCAGCTTCTAGAGACTCTTTTAAGCGCAATTTGTAAAAATTTTTTTTTTTTTTTTTTTTGGTCCAAAGTGACGGTAGTTAAATGAGCAGTTTCTCTCTTATTTGCTAACCCTTGTATAGTCCTATGTACATTCAATTAACGTTTATTGAGAATGTGGGTTCTGATTAAGTTGAAACATGTTAAAAACGATGAACATTAATTTGCTCATCGCGTTAAACCTGTTGAATGAATATGCAAGATACAGAAATTGTTATTACAAAATCAAGATTTTATGCAGTGGACTGAGATCTTAAAGTTCCGTGAATGAATGCTCCCGGATCTTTCTAAATAAAATGGCATTTTATTTCTAAATAAAATGAAAGTCTGAATCTTTCTAAATAAAATGGCATGTTGGGAAATTAAAGCATTAAGTTACATGTTACTTTAATGCTAAAAGGACAAGTGATTCTGTTAAGCTGACACTTAGTTTTGTGCTGTTCCAACAGCATTGAATTAAATATCAAAAACTGTGAAGCAAACAATCCTTTGTGTGTATGTGTTTGTGGGATCAAACTATAATTTTGGAGACCAACATCATTTCACTTGACAACTGCTTCTCTTTCTGTATTACACAAACACATGCTGGAAACACAAATATCAAGGCTTTCAGAGTTGCTCCGGGTGCTTACATGACAGAGCCTTTGGTAAAAGTGCAAAACATCTTCTAACTTAGAACCCTTCCTAGATGAAAGGAAAGTTACAGTCCACTTTTCAATAAAATAATCTTATTTTAGAGTGTATCACAGACTCATATCAATTAAAATCTGAACTTAAAAGGTATCATTGAATTTGGGAGAAATTACTTCTAGGGAGGCCCACACCACTGTTGAGAGAAGAACAGTGTGGAGGCTTGATTAATTTAGCTTAAGATAATGTCGTTGATACTCAAGAATAAGAACTTATTCTCAGGGTTAAGGATTTAGAGAATAAAAAATAGGGGGGTGATATGCCCTACATGTGTGTTTACATCCTTATCTCCTTTCTCTCCAGTCCAAGCCTCATCCCCTGCCCAAAATACAAACAAAATCAACTGTTTGCAACTCAACCCTGCATATTCTCCTAGCTCCTGAGCCATTTCTCTCTTTTGTTTCAAAGTCATTTATTTGTAACAGCTTTGTTAAGATACCATTGAGATACTATTGAGCTTGTTGAGATTCAAAAGGAGGTGAATCAGTGGAGACTAGAAAAGGTAATGATCAAGAGAAGTCAAATAACTTGTAAAGGTCCATGTGGTTTACAATTAGGAGGTCTTACTGACAGCAAGTTCATAGCTTGATTCGGATAGAACCCAGACCACATGAAACCCAGTGGTTTCATGACCAAACCTAAGGTAAAGAAGCAGAGGCAATAAATAGATATCACTGAATATATACAAAGCTACAAATGTGTAAAATATTCAATTGGATATACTCTTACACATATGCATACATGTTATATGCTCAGGAAGCCATCATTGCAACCAAGAAAATGAAGATATACATCACTTCCCCAAATTTCCACACGTACCTTTGTAATTCCTTCCTTTTGCCTCTTCCTCACCCCTCCTCCATTGATCTGCTTTCTATCACTAGAGATTTGTTTGCATTTTCTAGAATTGCACATAAATATAATTCCACAGTAGGTACTGTTTGTCTGACTTCTTTCACTTAGCATCATTATTTTTGAATCCACTCATATTGTTACATGTAGCAATAGTTTCTTCTTTTTTATTGCTGGGCAGTATTTCATTATATGATATACTTCAAAATTTTTAATCAATTCTACTGCTCATGAATTTTTGGTTATTTTCACTTGAAACTTTTATGAATAAAGCTGCCTTGACATTCATATTCAAGTCTTTTTATGAACATAAACCTTTAATTCTCTTGGAAAATACTTAAAACCAGAATGGCTGAGTGAGATGGTGAGTGTATATTGGTCCATAGTTTGTTGGTGATCTGTTTTTGCTTCTGTTTTACTCAGTTTTTCCTTAATATTTTATTTTGGATACTCTCTATTGCAATGTCTTTGAGTTCACTAATCTTTTTTTCTGTAATATCTGATTTCTGCCAATGCTATCCAGTGTATTTTGTACCTTATACCTGGTAGCTTTCATCTCTAGAATTTCAACTTGAATCTTTTTTTTTTTTTAATTACAGGACAATATAAAGCAATGAAACTTTTTTATATCTTCCATATCTAAACATGTCCGCTCTTCTCTCTAGCTTCTTGAATATACATTAATAATAACTTTTGTACTACTAACATCTGTGTCATTTTTGTGTACTTTGGGTTGATTGATTTTTCTCCACATTATGGCTTATATTTTTCTTCTTCTTTGTGTGCCTGATAATTTTTGATAGGATGTCAGATATTGTGGATTTTACCTTGTTATTTGGTTTTTTGTATTCCTATGATTGTTCTTGAGCTTGTTCTAAGACAATTAAAAATTTAGAGACAGTTTATCCATTCAGTTCTTGCATGTGAGTTTTGTTAGGTGGGACTAGAGCTGGTTTTAAACTAGGTTTACCCTTTCCACCCTTTGAGACAAAAATCCTTCATTTTACTTTAACTGGTAACTGACTTCCCCTCAACATATACACCTCAAATTTCACAGCTCTCCCCTCTGGCTGTTGAGACAGACACTATTCCCAGCCCTTGGTCAGCATCAGACCTTTTTGTGTTGTTCTTTTCCTGGTCTCAGGTGGTTTGTTCCTGTGTATAATCTGATCAAAAATCAACTAAATCCTCAAGGGGGACACGCTTCAGACTTCCAGAGTATTCTTTCTCTTACCTGATACTCTTCCTGTGGATACTAGCTGCCCTGGCTCCCTACACTTCCATCTCCAGTTCCATCTCCAGCTCCTTGGCCAGGATGATTCAATTCCTTCCTTCTGCACTGTAGCCTGGATGACTCCTTCAGGTAGTGTATTAGTCCATTCTCATGCTGCTATAAAGAAATACCCAAAACTGGGTAATTTATAAAGGAAAGAGGTTTAATTGACTCACAGTTCTCTATGGCTGGAGAGCCCTCAGGAAACTTACAATTATGGTGGAAGGGGAATCTAACATGTCCTTCTTCATATGGCAGCTGGAGAGAGAAGTGGCGAGCAAAGGGGGAAAAACATCTTATAAAACCATAAGCTCTTATGAGAATTCACTCACTATCGTGAGAACAGCAGCCTGTAGGTAACCGCCCCCATGATTCAATTGTCTCCCACTAGGTCCCTCCCACAATACATAGGGATTATGGAAACTACAATTCAAGATGGGATTTGGGTGGGAACACAGCCAAACCATATCAGGCAGTGATCTGGGACCATTGTATGGCTCCTATCATTTGTTTTTTGTCTCTACGATATTACTGTCCTTTACTGATATCCAATGTTTTAAGTGTTGTTTCCTATACTTTTGTCTAGTGTTTTAGTTGTTTAAGCAGGGAGGGTAAATCCAGTTCCCGTTTCTTCATCTTGGCAAGAAGAGCAAGTCTCATAGCAAGGCTTCTTTAAAAAGATGTTTCTATTCATTGTCTCTAGTTCTTCACCTTAGGTGTAGTCATGAAACCACTGTGATCTAGGTTCTATCTGAATCAAGTTATAAACCTGCTATCAGTAAGACCTCCTAATTGCAAACCACATGGATCTTTATCAGATATTTGACATCTCTTGACCATTACTTTCTCTTGTCTCCTCTGATTCACCTCCTTTTTCTCTGAATGTACCACCATCTCCTTTGCTGACTCACCCTTCTGTACCCCTAGTCTTAGCCCTAACCTTTCCACTCCACTCATACTGACCAATCAAGCTCATCTACTCCTACAGCTTATGATCCTGAAATCTCCCCCTCCAACTCAGATTTCATACTTGGAAACTAGGGTGATATGTCTAGCTCAGAAAAACTCCATCAAGGGCCTCAAATTTAGATTATCAAAGTGGAGCTTCCACTAACATGAATGTCTAACTAAATATCACACGAAGTCTAAAATGTTTTCAAAATTCTTCCATTGAACTATAAAGCCCCACATATTTTGGGCCCTACATACCTCCTAGGCTCATCTAACATAATTTTCTCCTTCATTTCCTGTATTTCTGTCCATTGGCCTCCTTTCTGCTCCTTAAACATGCCAATCAGCTTTCCTATTTGGACCTTCATTGTGCTGTGTCTGCTCTCTGAGATATTCTCTCTCCCTACTCTTTACCTGGCCAACAC